GATGGCAATTTAATTCTGCTACAGTTACTACTGGCAGCTGATATAAATAATTGTAATTAATCATAATTAACTGTAATTATTTATATACATTTCCCTTTTGAGCTAATTTGCTACAAACATCATCTAACACTCACGTAAAGTTAATCTTTAAAAACGCAATTTAATAAGACTGTTAAATGTAATTTGTAACAAATCTTAAAATAAATATTCATTTTAATATGGTATATTTTAATCACTTGTAGCCTATATTTTTTTTTTTTATATAAAATAAACTGTAAAGTAATTATTTACTTATCATATTGGCCAAATTTGCAATATCAGTGCAACATTACAAATGTGTTACAGTAAACTGAAATAAGCATTTTCGCTTCATCTGTAGCAACCATAGACTGTATAAAAGCATGGACGTAGTGTCCGTGACGTCACCCGTAGGGCTCCGAAGATAGTTTTTGTCAAAAGTGAGCGGAGGCGGCCGTCGCCATCTTGGCAGCGCGTCACCGCGCGTCACTCCCGAATAATCGAAGATGGGCAAAGACGCGGGAGCTGGTCAAGTAGGTATAACTGCAGGATCTCCAAAATGGGGCGTGAACTCCAAAAGTGGGCAGAACCTCCAAAATGGGGCGGGGTCTCCTCGCGCAAAGACTTTCACCATTGGCTCTGGCTTCAGCCAATTGTTATTGACTTACATTTCAAAATAAAACTTTATAAGTTAAACATTGTTTCTAGTTGATCTAAAATAAAATATGCTATATAAATAAATATTCTCCAGCAGAGCCCAAAGCTCTTGGCCAGAGGTGTTCAGACTGGAGTTTGAACCTCTGCTTAATGATATAAACGGGTATTACCCACGAGCTCTCCCGCGAGCCGTCCCAGCGCAGCGCAGGGGAAAGATTTTACTCTATCGCAACATGAAAATTTGATACCGGCATATCCCTAGTCCCTACGTTATTTTCTAAATGACTTAATAGGAATTTATAGTTTGAGAAATTCAGTGACATTAACCTGACACATACAGAGCTACATTCATCACAAGACATATTGAGAACCAGTTTCTAGGGGTAAAATAGAAAGATATAAATGCAAATACAAATAGCATGTAACGTTAAGTGCAAATACACATAACATGATATAGCCACCACTTACAAAGAGTATCAGGGTGCTGTTGTTGTTTGTTCGTGTACAGTACAGTACTGTGGTATTCTCGGAAAACCTTTATAGCATGGCACATGCATTTCAGCACTTTAATACTACCACCAAATACCATCAATGTACTATATATGGTACCACAGTACTTTGAATGGGCAGTCTGGTCCATTTGTAAAACATTAAATATTACAGCAGAACTCGTGTCCACCCTTTCAAACTATTGTTAGACTAAGAGAGTTGGCAACTTGAGACTTCCACTCACTCAAGGTCAAAAACTTCAGACAGAGTCGCACTTGGCATTCAGAGAATCACAATACCAACTAAATTAATCTACAGGTTAGTCTATAAAAATGAACGCAAAATAAATAAACTGACCTTTTCGGCCTTAGCGAGGTAAAGCCACAGTCTTCTCCATGTGGTGAATTTGTTTCTGTCACTGAAGTTGTAGGCCATCTCTTTGCTGGCGTACCGGGACACCAGCGGTGAGCGGTATTTCATGAACTCTTCCCCGGATCCCTCCATACCAGCAGCGGGTCAGTGAAGCGCCCTGCACCGCGAAACCAGATCACTCGCGGACTGCAAGTCTGAGCTATTCTGTTGCAAGTTCTTCTTCTTCTTCTTCTTCTTCTGTTTAATGACGGGCTGGTGGCAAAAGCACATGCCGCCACCTACTGTTCCGTTTAATGTATTATAATATACGATTTAATGCGTTTACCGCAAATCTAATCCATCAGGACCATAGAATGATCAGGACTCATCTTCTTCTTCTTGTAGCGTTTATTGGCGGTGGGCAAGCCAACTTTTGGTGCATTACCGCCACCAACTGGAGTGCGGAGTGACAATGAGCACGTTTACATGCACACCAGTAAGCTGATAACTCACAAATATCAGCTTATTAAAATAACCAGTTTTCCCCGTTTACATGCACATCAGTAACCTGACAGCGCAAGTCAGCTGCGTTTACATGATTTCATTATAGTATTATATACATAATAAATCAGGTTATTTCCCTGTAGTGACGTCAAAATATAATCATTTGCGTATTTGACTCCGAGTATTCCATACATTTGTCAGTTGTGATGTTAAATTAAGCTTGCAACATGTCAACAACATATCGGTAAACTTGCAGCTCATATTTTATCCTCTCATGCGGTTATAAACGCAGCATTGACTTCTACTTCTGCTGCACGAGATGAGAACACATTTTTATCATTGTCTAAGTCATGAAAAAGTCTGCTTTTCTGATATATTTCCTTCTTTCTTTACTGCAAGACGTTTGCATGCGCTTAAATCTGCACTAATGATGCGTTCCTGTCACGTATCACACATGCGCACTTCAATAAGCCGACAGAAAGCGGGTTATTGCGTTTACATGCCGTGCGAAATCGGAGTAAGAGGCAAAAAAACTACCTGTTGCGACCGGTTTA